GTTAATTCCCGTGTGTGTGTGTGTGTGTGTGTGCGTGTGAGAGTGAGTGTGTGCGTGTGAGAGTGTGAGTGAGTGTGTGCGTGTGAGAGTGTGTGTGTGAGTGTGTGTCTGTGTGTGAGTGTGTGTGTGAGAGTGTGTGTGTGTGTGAGTGTGTGTGAGTGTGAGTGTGTGTGAATGTGTGTGAGAGAGTGTGTTTACCTGTTGAAAATGTGTCCGGAGTCCTCCGAGTGAAAGGTGTGTGGTCTTCTGGTGTTTCTTGAGATCTTCTTCAAACCCATGTGTGACTCGGCCAACACCCGCTGACCTCTTGACCTGTCCTGCCATCTGATTCACACAAACAATAACATTCATTCTTCCTTCTGCTGTCTTATAACAGTGACAAAATCTAGACTAGTTACCTCTCAGTCTTTCGGTCCTGACCAGGTGCTTCTACGATTTTTCCAACCTGAAACGTTTAATTTTCTGTGATAAATGTTCTTTTTTTGTGGTCAGCCAGTGAAGACTGAATGACTGGCACACATGAAACCATCTTAATGTTGCTAACAAATGTTCTGTGGGGTACTGTCATAGTTTCAGACTCTTACTCTCATACTATGGTATATACATGATATTTCAAGACACAAACATTTATTCAATTAATTCAAATCAACTAACAAATGAGGAATAAAACAAAGTTATTAATGTTAATGAGGTAATATAACACGAGAAGTGCTAATAATACAAACAAGAGATTTTTTTACGGAACAATTTCCACTGTGTCTTGAATGTTGTCAGCAGTGCCATTAGCAAATGCTACATGTTCAAGAAACGTTACCAAAAACAGTAGATGCTTCGATTCTGTTTTGTTTCTGTCACTTACCTGATCGTTCGTTTGAGGAAAGTCTCTTGCTCCGTCGATCGCAGAAGCACTGATTCTGACAGGATTTTCTCTGAGGTGAGCTTCTTCTCAAACACATTAATAATGAGTAATAACAACACAAAGTTAACGCTGTCTGGAACAGTTAATGACTTTCAGTGCTGGATACCGTTTTAGTAATTTTCATTCGCAATCCAGGATATTTTTTAGGCTTAAAGTAACTTAAAGAATTTTCTCCCGCGTTTTACGGTTGCTATGGTGATCTCAGGCGAACGACACTATTCGCGCGCTTGTGTTTGACTTTATTTTAAAATTTTGATGAAACGCTTTGCTGTTGTTGCTAGTAAAGCCAGTCAGTTAAGCTAGTGTGTGAAGCTTCAGGAACTTTGAGTACAGATTCTGTAACATCAGACGATAGTGATGAGCTATACCGCGCATTTTGTTTTCTATAAGATACCGATTCTTTCAAAGGCCAATATCATCGATACCGATACCCCTAAACTTAACTTTTAAATTATTACAATTACTAAATTATTAAGAGTAAAAGGGCTAACGATACCCATTTAACATTATATTTGAAAGGCATTTAACATTCAATATGCCTTAATTGCAGTTTATTAGATTAGGCTGTATTTTTGTTTACACGTGGTTAAAATACGTCTACTATAGAAATCTACATACTTTAGTAAAACCATGGTTCATTTTCATAAGAGACTGCCAGTTGCACCCATTAAATGCAACCTTTTAATTCTGACAGTGTATGATTTAATAAACACTACAGAACACAACACGATCAATTGACTTTAACGTTTAACTTAAATTAAAACCACAAATCAGGAACACACTGAGTGAAGTGAAACTAAAAGTATTTCAGAGTGAGAGAAAACAGATATGGATAACCTTTAGATGATTTTTCAGTGTTTTATTAAATATACAGTAAAAAAAAAAGTGTACAGATCCATTAATATAGTATCCCCAGCATCAAATATTCTCATGTTTCAGCGGATAGCATCGTGCCAGATAAATGTATCTATGAGATACACTAGATTAATAACACTCTCACGATCCTCAGACGACAGTAAAGCACAAGAGTACCGCTGTAACACCATAAAGATGAGTCTCGACTGCATGGACTGCTTTCAGTGAAATCTCACACACACTGCGCTGTCGCTTGCATTGCAATCTGCCCAGAGACTCAAACACATAAGTCTGAACCATAAATGCATTCATACAGCTCTGTACAAAATCTGATAATAGTATAATGAGCAAGAGTTCTTTCCCAAAAGTGACAGACAGCACATGTAAAACTGCTTTTATTTTATACAAGGCAACTTTCTGTAGTTTAGAATAAATATTTAACTCTATACAGTGATATTGTACCAGTTATTAACCACTTTATAATTTTATACAGACATAAAAACTTTATAAAATACTTTTAAAAGCTGATAATCCCTGTTATAATTGTACAGGATTAAATGTGACTTATTAAAACATCTGTTTATTTGTTCAGAGGCGACGCATTCATATAAAACGTGCACGCTTGCGTCCTCCACACACACATCGTGTCATCATAGTTTTCAGTGATGTGTGTGTGTGTGTGTGTGTGAGTGTGTGCTGGTGTGTGTGTGTGTGTGTGTGTGTGTGAGTGTGTGCTGGTGTGTGTGTGTGTGTGTGTGTGTGTGAGTGTGTGCTGGTGTGTGTGTGTGTGTGTGTGTGTGTGAGTGTGTGCTGGTGTGTGTGTGTGTGTGTGTGTGTGTGAGTGTGTGCTGGTGTGTGTGTGTGTGTGTGTGTGTGTGAGTGTGTGCTGTGTTTGGATCCAGTGAGAGAAAACAGGCATCTGA